CAGGCCACTGCCCACTACTGCCCCCAACCCTACAGTTCTAGAGGACATCCAGGTACAAAGGACGAGAGAGCAGAGGCAGGACATTTCATCCTGCATGACATGGGCCTGGAGGAGGGACTAGAACAGACACATGCTGAGATCCAGGCAGGGGGCAGAAGGGAGGGTGGGGCTTCACACCTGCACACAGCTGGAAGGTCTCACTTTAGCTCCCCTCCCCCCCCACTCCTCAGAAGCCACACTCAGAAGGCCCTGCTCAGCACAGTCACCGCCTGGGTCCCATCTTCCCACCAGGGAGGAACCCCAAAGGCTAGAGGTGGGACTCTGCAGAGCCTATAGCTTGGAGGAAGGGGGGGGGACAAAAATGTACCTCAAGAGTCAGGATGGGGTCAGCCGTACTCAACTGTCTCATAGGCCCGTTGTCTACTGCACCCAGACGTTCCAGCCTTCCTGGGTCCCCCAGGACTCAACAGGATTCACTCAAACTGGTTTCTCTAACTTGTTGGGTGACTCCTAAACATTTAACCAACTACTATTTGCAAAATTCAATGGGGACCCCAGAAAGGAGTCAACACTAATGCGTTTGCCTCTGCCACATTAGTGGGGCTATGGGTGGATCCAAGAAGGACTGAACTGAAACCAACTGAAAATTACTGAAGAACCTTGGGAGGCAGAGGGTAGGCATTAGACCACAGGCTAGAAAACCAGGAGATTCTACATTTGAGTTTTCTCATAGTACCTCCTAAGCGGTGCCTGGAAGAAGCTCTCCTGGGAAGGGGCTCTGAGAGCTGTGAACAGTGCTCGGGTATGCTTCTGCCTGGTGCACAGCTTGACGTCACAGGCTGCCCTCTACCTCACTGACCTTCACCAATCACCCGAAAGCTGATAAGTAACTGGCTACCCCCTGTTAAGAACTCAACCACCTGCATACTATGTGTTCAATCCTCACCCAATCCTCTCTCTGTTCCTGTGTGAGGTTCCTCATTCTCAAGGATGGTGGCAGCTAAGGTTGTCCTGCTGAAGCACAGGAAGATAGGATGGGTCCCCACCTCAAGCACACCCTATCTCCAAAGCCTTGACCCAGTCACACCCTATGGGCCTACAGATGTGACAGACCTTCTCCCTACTCTGGAGTGAACCACTACTGCCCTGGGGACTTGTTTCTGTATTGTGCATAAATTATTGGTTTTGATTTGGTTTTGTTGATGTTACCGCGACAGGGAGTCCCTATGTTAGCAGGCATTGGCTGGTCTTGAACTCAGAGAGATCCACCTTGCCCGGAAACAAATATGAAATTACATGAAATGACCCGGTGTACAATATGGGTTGCCGTGTAAGATGGTTCTCCTTTTTGTCTCCATCACTGCTGTTTTTAAACAAACACATTGGAGGCCTGCTTATTCAATCTTCGGTGTTAAAGCTGAGAGGCACATGTCAGCTAACATGTCAGTTGGCTAAATGAAACGGGACTGTCATGAATGTGAACTCGTTTGAGGTGGGCAGAGACTGTACCAAGGATCTTAACAGTTGGTGTATATAGAACTCTCTCTTGTGATCCACACACCGACGTATGACTGCGTGCTGAGGCGCTGACTTGACAGCAGGTCAGCTGAAAGACCTGGAGTAGCTTGTCGGAGTGGGTTCCACATGAACCAGTATACGGTGAGAAAGACTGGAATCCACTTAAGGGACCAGCCACTCCCTGGACTCAATGTGGCACCTCCTGACTGCTTTCCTGGGAAGAGCCCTGGACAAGCACATAGAGTCAGCTGCTCCCATGTCTTTGTGAGTTTCCTACCCTGAAAGGACCTCAGGCAAACGCTAGTATCAGCCAGGAAAGTGAGGGTGTCGGGGAACAGCCTGGAGCCCTGCCTGGCGCTCATCACAATCAGTGTTCTTTTTAAATGACGTATTCCAGGGCTGACATGGCGGCTCAGTGGGTACACAAGCACGAAGACCCAAGTGCCAGCTCCTCAGCACACATAAGGCCACATATGACAACACATGTCTGTATACAGCATGCCTAAGGCAAAAGGGGGGTACAGAGCCAGAACCTCCCGAAACTTTCAAGCTGCCTAGTCTGGTGCACTTAGCAGTCAACAAGAGACTGCCTCAGGCAAAGCAGAAGGCAAGGATTGACATCTGAGGTCAGCCTCTGATCTCCACACACACAGTGTGGCATGCATATCCTCACACCCATACACAGGTGCATGCACACACACATGCACCCACACACATGCATACACACATGCACACACACACACACATACACACAATTTTTTAAATTAAAAAATGCAAATTTGAGGCTGGAGAGATGACTCCGTGGTTAAGAGCACTGGCTGCTCTTCCAGAGAACCCAAGTTCAGTTTCCAGCACCCACACGGCATCCCACAACCATCTATGGTTCCAGTCCCAGGGGATCTGTCCCTTCTAACCAATTTGGGCACAAGGGATGTACACGATACACAGATACACACATGAGCAAAACAACCACACACATAAAATAATTCATTAAAATGTAGACCCCAGCCTCACAACAGATCTCCAGAATCAAAACCTTTTCATACAGTTCCTCGTGCCATGGTGACCCCCCACCATGAAATTATTTTTGTTGCTACCCATAACTGTAATTCTGCTGTTATGTCTCATAACGTAAATTTCTGTGTTTTCTGCTGATCTTAGGCGACTCCTGTGACAGGGTCTTCCACTCCCTCCCTGGGGACCAGGACCCACGGGTTGAGAACCACTGCTCTAGATTAATAAAACACAACAGTATGGAACTTAGTTGATGCCTGTGAGTTTACAAAGTATAAAAAGGTACTTTGGATAGCTTGGCAAATTTTAATAGGAAATAATAAAATGGATTCTTGATAAATTTTCTTTTTCCAAACAGAATCTCTATATACAGTCCAGCTGATATGGTCCACTTGCCTCTGCTTCCCAAGTGCTGGGGTTACAGACATGTACCAAACCTGCCAGAAATTTTGGTAACTTTTTTTTTTTGGTCTGATAGTATATTTCAGAAATTTGGAAGAATGTCCTTACTCATAGGCTACATTAAGTTCAAGTATGAAAAGTGAGCTGTCATGTCTCAACTTACCTTTTAGGGGGACAACAAATTAATTTTAGATGGTTCTGGGTAGAGAAGCGCCAATGAGACAACACAGTGAAGGAAGGGACAATCACCACACACAACGTTTCTGTAGGCTTGACGCTCCTCAACACACGGCTGAGGGAAGTGAAGCTACTAGTTTCCATGGAGTGAAAACATGAAACCTGCTGGACAGATAAACCTCTGCTCTGCTGCCAAGCCACAGGCTACAGCCTGCCTGTGAGGCTGTGGCCACCCAGCCTAGCTGACTCTTGTGGAGATTAGACCACACTGACCCCTAGAGGTACTGTGTTCTCAGACCAGAGCAACCCTAACCCCACACTGGCAATGTCCATGACTGGCTGATTCCATTGTCCTCGATTACATGAGGGTCATGACAAAGGGCAAAGCCCCCTGCTTGGCCTTCTCTGGGGAGCTGACTGATTTCTAGATGTGACACTGAATACAGTAGAGCCATGCCCAGTGTGAGGCTAGCCTCGTCAGCTCCACCAGGACAAACCAGAGTGAGACCCAGAGGGCTTAAAAATAGAGGTGTGTGGGAAAGAGGCTCACAGAAAAGAAACAGGGTAAAGTGGTGAGGGCCACACAGGAGCAAGAATGACCATAGACAGGGCACAGTTGAGGTGGCCCGTGTATTACTTCTGTCACTGTGACCAATCACCAGACAGAGGCAACTTCGGGAACAACGTTGAGATTCCAGTCCACCATGGCGTGGGAGGCCCAGCAACAGGAATGGCTGTCTCCAGAGATGTTTACATGGTGGCATGGGGGACAGGAAGCAAAGCACACAGGCCAGAACTGAGGGGGGTTAGGGGATTAACTTTCAAAGCCTGCTTCTACTGACCTACTTCTACCAGTCAGGCCATCCCTCCCAAGAACTCCACAGCCTTCGAAGCTGCACAGGCTGGGGGCGTGTTGGTGGGGCACATGTTAGATCCTAGCTATTCACAGGCTGTTAACAGGAAGTCTGCCACAGACGGAGTGAGCTCAACAATACCCTCTCAGATGAGGCAGGGCACACAGGATCATACCACTGTCAGGCTGCAAACTGAGCACAGCTCTGCAGGAAGCCATTTCCTCAAGAGCGGACTGCCTTTCCTGCTGGTCACTCATCACAGGCTGAAGAGAAGGGCAGAGGTCTCTGCTGTTTAAGATGTAAGTGCAGAAATGGTAGCACATGGTTCAGGTGCTATCATCCCTCTCCCTAACCTCTGTAACTTTTAGTAAGGCCTTTGCTATACTCAACTTTGGCCAACAGCCTTAGTTCAGAGACCAAAGAATTTGAAGATGTCACTAGAAATTAAGAAAGATTAAGGATTATATCCCCTACCCACAGACAGGGACTTGCCACAGCACAGCCCACCCAACCTGGTCATTTCTCCAGACCAGGAACTGGAAGGGTAGATGGCCCAGAAGGCAGTGGTCCAGGCTCAGTCCAAGAACCTGAAGGAACCCATTGAAGTAACAAACCGAAAGTGATTCCACTCAGAGCTAGTTACGTTTGTCTCTGATACACTTGATACTCAAGTGAGGCCCAGGAATCTGCTGCAGTGGAATCCAGAAAAATGGACAGCCACACTGACCTGATCCGGGGGAAATTCTAAATGTTTGTTTCTTAATGAAAATGTTCACAGGACAACTCAAGCATCAGTGTTGTATCAATACACATTTCACACATAAAAATGGCTACTCTTGCAGAAGACCCCGATTCAACTGCAGAGAACTCAGCATTCACACTCACACTCAGAACCATCTGTGATTCTATTTCCAGGGTATCCAATGAGCTCTTCTAACCTCTGTGGGCAACAGGCACTCGTGTGGTATACATAGACACAAACAGGCAAAACACAGATTCAAAAAAAATAAATAAATATACATATACATATACATATACATATATATAATGCAGTTAGGCATACTGTCTTTTTTATTTTGTTCTTATTTCTGTCTCACAATGACCAGGTAGCATCTTTCATAGGAAATAAAATCCCAAGCTACAGAAACTTACAGATATAGACAAGATTCTCCCTGAGTGAGGAGAGCATGGGAAGCAAGTCCATGGCCACCAGCAAGTCAGGTCAGCATGGCGGAGGGGAACATGGCCACAGGAGAGAGAGCTCGGCTGCATGGATACATGGTGAGGACCTGGGACACAGCCAGGAGGAGTCCCAGCCTCCTTCCCAGGGCTCCTGGAGGAACACTCAGGCCCCACCATCACCTCTTTTCTGAGGAGAGAGAGTAACAGATTCTTTTGGTCACAGTGACATTTTGGCTTCCTATCCTTAGAAGGACTGGCACAAGTTAATGGGGACAGGAAGATAAGCAGAGTGGCATTAATCAGCCACTGTGTCCTACACCCGACTGCTTCTTTTTATCCAAATGAAGGAGCAAAATGGTCAGCCACTGCCTTCTCGTCTTTATTGTAAAGCCATGGTATTTCTATCAGAGACAGACACAACGCCACAAAGATTACCCTCGTACTGGTTGGAAGACAGCTGCAGACTGGCAGATTCAGACAAGTCCTTCTGCCCAGAAGCTACTAGGCTATGTGTACTCAGGACAGTTCAAGATCTGTATAAACCAGTCTGGAGGTCAGCACAGAAAGCAGCTGTTCTTTCCCCTGGGAATGAGCTGGTTTGGGCCTTGGGCCCAGGTGACACCTACCTGTGGTGTGCTGGCCCAGCAGATAGCAGGACCAGAGGTACCAGGTGACTCTCAGCACATACTTTCTTGGGCTCCTTTAGAAAGGCCCCAGTGAAGCCAAGAAACACACTTATCTGGTACTATGTGATCCCTGGAGGGAACCACAGGCTCTGGTTAAACCTACAAAGTATCTCCATCTTTCAAAGACCAGCTGTTTCTTCCACAGAAATGAAGTGCTCACTCTTCTGAGGAGACAGACTCTTCTCACCAGGAGGGCCTTAGCACCAGAAATAGCCGTGGACAGAGGTATGGACTTGAGTCAAACCCTCATCTAACTTTGTCTTGATTCTGAGGACCCTGGATGACTTCTGTAGAACACCAGTGAGGAAGATACAAAGTTCTCTGAGCCTCATCTTCCCCACAGGTGAGACGGGAACAGCGGGGTTTGCACAGAGGAAGAACAGTTGTTGGATGCTCCAATACAGATGCAGGGTTTGCACAGAGGAAGAGCAGTCATCGGATGCTCTGATACAGATGCAGGGTTTGCACAGAGGAAGAGCAGTCATCGGATGCTCTGATACAGACAGATGGGAGGACTTCGGGGTCATGAGCACGTTAAATCATAGTGTTATTTGTGCAGGACAAGAGAGGAGTTTTAAAACCGTCTCAGCCAACTCAGATCCTAGCAAAGGAAAACAACTGAGTTTTGAGTCAGTGAGTCTTTGGAGAGATTTTGGTCAGAATTCCATCATTTCTTGAAAATAAATCTGCTAAAATACATCTCCCTGGAGAGGGCATGCCTGTTCGTTACAGACGCTCAGTGCACACCTAGACAGACACTAGGACTGCTTTTCCAGCTGAGTGTCCTTCTGCTCCTTAGCCTTCAGTTCCTCTAGCTTTTTCCCATAGCGACTCAGGAAGTAATCGTCAGGTTCCACCCCAGAGCTCCTCAAAGCTTCCAGAACCTTCTCCAGTCTGGCCACAGACCGGGCTCCGTCAATCTTCCTTGTGCTCAAGTACAGAGTGAATTCCTGGAAACCCAGGAGCTTGCAGGTGTCCACAGAGCAAATATTCCGGATGTCCCTGGTTCTATCCAGACGGGGGAAAAACACCAGACCTGACATCTTCTCTAGGTCATGGAGGCTCACCTGGAACTCGGTTAGCTGGGGCTGGAACCCAATGGGTTCATTTGGCACCACAAAGGCCCCCAGTGCCAGTGGCTCCGTAGATTCTGGGCTTCTTCGAGCCAGGATCACCTTGTAAAGGTGTGAGGGGACCGCCACGTTGTCCTCACCGATCACCTAAAAACAGAGCAGCCTGATTAGTGCACTGAGCTGTGACAACAGCTTCTGAGGATTTGCTCCCACAACTTTGTAGATGCATTACAAGAAATGGCCTGTAAGCGACCTCAGTGTAGCCAACACCTTCCACCAACTGCTAAGGAAAAGGAAACAGGTGAATACCGATCAGTCCTAACCAGTCTTTAAAATACTGTTACCTCTGCAGAGTGGTGGCTCCAGGCTTTAATTCCAGAAACCTGGAGGCAGAAGCATGTGCCTCTCCAGTTCAAGGCCAGCCTGGTCTACCAAGTGGCTAGGATAGCCAGGGCTATACAAAGAAACCCAGTCTCGAAAAACCAAAATAACAACAAAAAAATATAATGTTCCCCTAAAGGGCAGGGGTCACAGCATGTCCACAGGACAGAGGACAAAGGGATGCCCAAGCAAGCCCTGGACTTCCAGTGGGAGAAAGAGCTGTCATTTCCTCTCCATTGGCTAGTCAGAACTTCTAACACTCTAAACATAGGAGTCAAAATTGCTAGCTTCAGCACTCCCAGCTCTCACAGTTAAAAACAGCCTAAACTCCCAAGAAACAACAGACACCCTTTGAAGAGGCAGCCAGACACGGCAGCAACAGAACTTTCTAGATTACCTTGATGATGTTCACTTTTTACAGCTCAGTACATGCAAGTGCTTTCCCTTAGTTCCAAATGCTCCTGGACTACCCAACTCTGAACTTCCACATCACGTTGTCAGATGGGATACTTTAGAAAAGTGGCCACACAGTGAGGGAGGCAGAGGCAGAGAAGGAAGCAGCTCTGTAGGCTGGCCGTATTAATGAAATAACAGTATTAGGAAGCCTCTTCAAATGTCCTTCCAATATGCTTAAAAGCCTCCATCTGTTGTCTAAGAAACAAAAGCTGAATGTCCATTTACTTAATGGTCCCTGTTAAAATGACAAGACCCAACTGAGCATGCCCCAAGTGCCCCTTGCAGGCCTTTGCTGCCGTCAGTAGGTTCTTTCCTGATTAGACAGTTCAGTGCAGATTATATTCCCTGTCAGAAGCCCAAATAAGGCATCGAGATGAAAGCCAAAAGAGGATTTTTTCCCTGATTTTTACAAACTCCTATCCACACCGCACATAGCCCAGAACTCCATGGTCTGTCTGTTATACAGTAACAGCTAACGACAGGACTTCAGGGAAGACTCTGCCACAGGGATCTACAACAACTGCCTTTGAATATACTGAAGTGGTTGGTTGGTCAGGGCCCAGACGGAGTGGGGGTTACGAAACCACACTGTTCACAGGTTCAAGATTCTCACCCCCAGGAGTGACTTGTGCAACCAGGACGCGAGTTCATCAAAGCAAATGGGTGAGAAGGTACGCTGCTCACACTCGGGTCGCAGACCCCCAGAGGACACTAAGGATGCTCTGGGCCCCAAGCCTAGCACTGACCCTCCAGCATAGTATAAAGGTGTTACAGCTAGGAATCCTGGCATCCAGGTGAAGGCAAGAGGGTCAGAAGTTCTAGGTCATCCTTGGCTACACACTTAAGAGCTCAAAGACAGCCTGGACTACGAATCTCATTACAAAGGAAAGAGGAGGACAACAGAACTCTGCTCTCAAGCAGCGTCACTATCTGCTGGGGGAACCGGCTGCCACGGTTTTCCCTACAGACAAATGTTCTATGTGGCCAGATACTAAAACATGATAAATAATAACAATAAGGGCTCGGGGACCAGAACTGAGGACACACCTACTGTGGAGCCACAGTCACAAGGGGGTAGGAAATGAGCTGCAAACACTGCAATCATCCCACAGGGGCTGGGGACCCAGTTGGTAAGTCAACTCCTGGCGCCACCTGGTGGGCTTTCCATGCCACTGCAGCACAAAAACCTTGGGATCCTCCTATACCGTTCTCTTGACTATTTCGATCTCCTGGGCTCCTTGTCCACAAACAAATGGCCATTTTCAAAAATAATTAACTGGTCAAGTTCACTGGCTGCCAGCCAGAACTGATAACTGAGTTCCTTCAGTAACAGCAAAAGGTATAGATGATTGACATTTTACACTTTGCAACTTTACTTCATAATGTGCTGTTTCTATAGTTTTGGGGTTTTTAAGCTCATGACAGCTTTCGGACCTTCAGTGCTGCAGTCCCGAGGGCATCAGGGATGGTGGGCACCAGTCCATCCCACAGGTATACCTCAATCCTGGACAGAGATCCTACTGAGAACCACAACATGTGACTCTTCTAGCCAAGCCTGCCCCACAGGTAAGTCGAAAAGGAACTCCACTCTCATTTTCTGAGTTACCTTGTCTGAGTCAGTGTACTTTGTTCTCAGCAACCCTAAGAGACACCATGCCTGCTTGGAATTAAGAAACCCAGTGTTTAGCCAGGCGGTGGTGGCGCACGCCTTTAATCCCAGCACTTGGGAGGCAGAGGCAGGCAGATTTCTGAGTTCGAGAGTTCGAGGCTAGCCTGGTCTACAGAGTGAGTTCCAGGACAGCCAGGGCTACACAGAGAAACCCTGTCTCAAAACAAACAAAAAACAACAAAAAACTTGAGACATAAATAATCTTAAAATAACTTAGGGCTCTCTTCCTTCTAGGTAACTCAGCAATACACATAAGCATTGACCTCGAGGACAGTCACTGCCAGACAATGTTCCTGGAACAGCCACACTGAAGCACGAGGCTCAGTTGACCAGACATCTGCTCAGGTTCCACTTTGTCATAAGCTACAACTCATAACCAGACTCCTTTCTTCATTTCTAAAACAGCACCAGCAATCCCCAAATGCCTCTCACAGAACTGTTATGACAACAGACTGATTTGAAAAGAAAGAAAAAAGGAAAAAAGGAAGGAAGGAAGGAAGGAAGGAAGGAAGGAAGGAAGGAAGGAAGGAAGGAAGGCAGGCAGGCAAACAAGCAGACCTTTAATCCCAAAAGGCAGGAGACAATTGTGAGTTACCTTTGGGTCCATCCAGGGCTATATATAGTGAAACCCTGAAAACAAGGGTGGAGGAGGCGATATGGTGGTGCACAGTCATAATCCCATAACCTTGAGGTAAGGGCAGGAGGATAAGGAGTTCAAGGCCGGTCTGGGCTATATGAGACTCTGATCAAAACAACAACAGCAAAGATTCCAAAATCATAAAGACCTATAAAAAGCCCTATTTTTGAAGTGGACATCATTCAGAAGACAGGTTTTGCAGAGGTAGAGTGGGGAAACGTGGGCTCAGGCCAGATTAGGGCAGTTAAAGGCCAACATCGAGAAATCAAGCTGAACACAGACAAAGGATTTCTGTATGGCTTACCACGAACCAAGCTTTTGATATCAGGACATCAGCAACAAACCTTTTCACAGAAGATTTGGCACAAAAATGCTTTACAAAGGAGATCGCTGCTGCTATTAAAACACTCAGGAACCCTGAACCCTTGTCAAGGTTAAAAAACTCGGAAACTGACCAACTGGAAGTGAGCGGAAAATACAGCACACACCACAGCTCGAAGGCAGACTCACATGTAAGATGGTCATTTCCTAAACACTGGCCAGAGTGCCTCCTGCCTTCCCTCTCAGTGACAGAAACAACACCACATCCGTGACAGCCAGAAAGCCATCCCAGGTTCAGAAGTCGGCAAGAATCAAGAGACTTAGCCTGTTGCTTGCAATGTCATAGCTATTGTGTCTTCAGTGACGTTCTTAAGATAAATGCATTTAGTGACAGACACCACCCTCAGGAAGACCAGAAGGAGAGGAAGAAAGTCAGACCAAAAATAAAACTCCTGGGACACAGTAAGAGACCACACCCTTAAAGTGCCAATTACATGGAAGAGAAAAGGAAGCAGGGTGGTTCGGAACCCACAGGATCCATGAATATAGGAGGAGGAGGAGGTCAACAGCCGTGTCGGTCAGCCCTGTGTCACCACAGCAGGCACCTGCTAGTAAGGCTGCTCAAACTGAAGAGAGAGAGAGAGAGAGAGAGAGAGAGAGAGAGAGAGAGAGAGAGAGAGAGAGAGAGAGAGAGAGAGAG